TCTGCAGAAGATATCATAGAATAGCTTGGGTTGGAAAGGACTTTAAAGCTCATCCAGTTCCAGACCCCTGCCCCAGGCAGGGTCACCTTTCACTAGACCAGATTGATTGAAGTCCCATCCAACCTGGCCTTGAACACTGTCAGGGATGGAGCATTTCCATTTTACCTGACCTCCAAACCTGTGCAGCACCTACTTTTATAATCTGATAGTGTGGGAATGAGTACAGTGCTCATCTGAGTTATCTCCTTCCAGACGAGTCCATAGTGCTGCAGACTATGTGGGTGATGCCACGGCTAGCAGTGTGTTGTTCTGGAAAAGCCTTTTGTATGAGCAGTGATGCCAGCCAAGCACTTGCACCTCCAAGGTTTATGAACAGCTGACCTGTGAGAGATTACTTTTCCCTTGTGCTTTTGACATTATTTACTCAAAAGGGAGCATCATCTAACTTTCCAGGGAATACCACGACTCTTCAATCCGACATGGCAATATTAACCTGCTGTAAGTGTGCATCCATTCCGCATCTCGGGTCTTTGTACACTGGAGTGTGAATGGCAGCATCCTGAATTTGGGACACCAGGACCTCAGCCCCATGTTTCCCCATCAGTGACACCACTGTGGGGCTAGTCACCCCTAGTGATCTGCACCAGTTCCTCATGGGAAAATTGGGGTTTCTCGGGCTTTGAGCACCTTCAAGTTTTGCGGGAGAGGTGAAACCCTTCCCACGCAGCCCTGTGGGTCTGGCTGAAATAAAACCCAGCTTTACAGCTCAAAGTAACCCCATTTGCCCTGCTTCAGCCTCCCCGGGTCACCTCCTAGAAGAGGCCTTCGAGGCTGTTGCCCTGCTGAAATGTGAGGCTCTGCACACCATGCTCAGTGAGCACAGCCCCAGCTCCCGCTTCTGACCGCGCGTTTCCTGTGAGTCCCTAAACGTGTCTGTGCAATCCGCCTGTGCTGCTGGCACCTCCCCTCGCTATTTTGGGGGGCCTTTCCGGGAAGGCAGTGGGGTGTCTATGGGGCTTACATGTGGGGGGATGTGAGGAGCTATAAAGCTGTGTCTGTATTGAGCTGGAGTAGCAGGGAGGGTTATTTGAAGGTGAGAGGCTATTTGTTTGTGGGCAGATGTGGTTCTTGCTCTGCTCTATGGCTTTCTGCCTCCCATCCACCACGACTGATATAGAAGATGCTGTTTCGCTCAGGAAGTGCATGCTTTTAGGTACAGACTGTTTTACATGGGGTGTATTCCCTCCTTTCTCTCCCTCCTGGAGTAGGGGCCCCCCAAAACCTGATGGATGCAGAGAAGGACTCGGAGCCATCTTCCCATTTTGTTATGTTTCCCTTTGGATCAGGTTGGTGACATTCCCAGTCCCCAGAGTGCTGGGGAAGATGGGTTTAACTGAGCCCACAACGATACCCGCCTCCAAAAGCCTCAGAAAGCGCTTTCTTCTCGCCTGGACCACCTTTCCTTGTCTTACCACTAGATGGGAGAGTGAGACCGGGCTAAGTCTGCTCCGTCCTTATCCCGATAGGAATTCCGAGGGGAAACTCCCGCAGGTCATTGTGCAAATCATTCCACATCGGGAAGGGAAGGGGTAACCCCCAAAGTACCTCTTTATTACCTAACCCCAAAAGTGCGTGCTCTGGGGAGGCTGCCTGGTGCACCTCAATACTGGTGTCGCAGCAGTAGCCACTGTGCCCTCATGCATGAGGGATTCACTTACACAGATGCTAGATAGATTGTTGGGGTGAAATACTCAACTTTTCTCATACCCATCTGTCCTGGGCACAGAGAAGTGGGAAAAGCACTTGCAGTTCACTCCTCTCATCCACATCCCAGATCCCTCTTCCCAGGAAACCAGGTGAGATAAAGAGAACTTCATCATCTCATCCTTTCCTTCTACACCTTTTCTCCTATAGGATTCCTGTTTAAGGATGCCCCCATTAATACCATTCCAGATTGGAAGCTGGCTGGTGCAATGACTGCACATACAGGAGGAGAGTCCATGCCCTGGTCTGATGCTGCTCACCCCTGGATCTGCTGCAGGGAAGGAAGGGGAAGGCACACGACTCATTAATGTCTTATTTAATTTACTTTCACTGCAGCACTTCCCATCTCCTGAGGCTCTTCCCAAGGTTTTGCTGGAACGGGTATGTCTGGGAATTCTATGGTTGCTAAAGCATTTTCCTCAACCAAATCAGATTGCCCAGTTTGGCTTCTTTCAGTATTATAAGGTTTGGGGCTTTTAAAAATGAGCATCTCTTGTTCCTTCCTGAGATTTCACAGGGTCTGGAAGAAATCCCAGTTGCCAAATCCCCGTGTGACTTGTGTCAAAATATGCAATCCCTGTAACCTGGAAATGATCTTTTTTGGGGGGTTTTGCTGTTTGCCCAACCTTCCTAATTTGCCAGCTCTTTAGAGAAGTGACTCAACTGATTTGTTTAGTGGCTGGCACAGTTGGGCAATGAGAGGAAATCATTCTAATAACCTCCCTAACTGCAGTGTCCTTGATTTGCCTCTCTTGGGCTCTCCTGGCTTTGCCTCATCAGAAAATACGTGTCATTATCCTGTTAGAGAGAAATAGAAACCTCTTTAGAAGAGGAAGCTTGGTGTTGGGGATTTTTTTTTATGTTGTTACTGGACATAACTACTCCTATTTTCCATAAGAAACAACCACCCCACCCTGTGTGTGCTATGAGGCCACTGAATCACCAGTGCAAAGCACTGACCAGCTCATGCACATCACTGGGCAGGACCCAAAATCCCCTCCAAAGAAGAGAAGAGACGTGTTTCTTCAGCCGGTAGTTAGAGATGGACGATGGGGAAAAAAAAGGCATTCCAGAGCTGGCAGGTCCAGGGAATATTTGTCTGTGTAAATGGATCTTGTAGCTGCTGGGGAGAGTGGGGTGGGAGCATCTCCTATATTAGTGGGGCTGGGTTCACCCTGCTTTGTCCATGAGCTCTGGGATGTGTGGGGATGATAAAGCAGCCATAGGGTGTCTTATAGATGGTTAATAGTATGTCTGCTTCTGGCCATGGACACTCTTGGGAGCAGTTACTGCCCTTGGTCAACTGAGAATTAAGAGAATTAAAAACCAGAAGAAGCACTAACTGGGGACAGCAGCTAGAAAGCAACTGGTGGCATGGTGCACCCTAGTGATATCACAGGACCAGAGGGATGATGACACCACAGAGACTGACTTCTGGTCTCTGCCGACTGCAGGAGATGCTGCAGCTTGTCACTTCTAATGCCTTTCAGCACGCCAAGTGCAAAGTCAGGCCTGCTTCAGCAAGAAGCTGAACTGATTAAGTTTCTCTCTAATTATAACAAGGAAATGGCATATGCAAGTGTTGCTTTAGATAACAAACACATGGCAGCCACCAAATTAAAGCTGTGTCCTCTAAACCTCTCCAGTATGTGAGGCTGAGCCTTGAATTCTGGCTGCTGCGGGGCCAGGGGAAGAAAAAGAGAAAGGATTTGAGCATGGCCAAAGCTGTGGTCAGTGGGACTTGTTTCATGGGAACCCTGAGGGATGGTTAGGGCAGAGCCTGGTGTAACCCATGTGCATGGCATTTGCTGCACTAGTAGGCAGCTCCATCAGCAGTGTAAAAAGTGTGAAGTTTGAACTGACAAAGCATCCATGCAGGGACCAGGATGCAGCAGCAGACTAGCAGAACACAGGCTTGCTGAGATATGTCATGTTGCTGCAGGTTGCAACCAGAGTCCTTTGGTAGCCGGCTCGCAGCATCCCTATGAATCCTTGTGATGGTGATTAAAAGTAGCTCCACGAATCTGGAACTATATGTCTGGGTTTTCAAAATGAACCACAACAAGTGAGACCCAGACCTTATCTGAGACAGCAACACAATTGCACACATGATTTCTTCTCCATGTTTACAGGAGCAATATTTATCCAAAGTCTTTCTCTGCGGGAAGCATGTGATGTGCTTTGCAGTCACACCATAGCTTTGGTGCTATGAACAATTAAACAAATCAATGTCTGGAGCAATATTTTCTATGTTTGCAATCTCTGAGCTAATTATAGCCTGGAAAATCAATCGCTATCTGGAAATCTTTCCAATACAGCTAACTTATCATGCTGGAATATATTCTTCACAAACACATGCTGCTCATGACCATCTCCTGCATTATAAGGGCAGGTGATAGATCAATCAATATATGTTTGTCAATAAGCATCTGTACTTCATCACACTGCAATGGCAACGCTTATCAGAATCTGCAGGGGGGATTGGGCAGAGCAAATAGTGTGGTACATGAGACCTGGAGCAACATTTGTGCCAGCTTTTTAAGCCAAAGCAAAAAGAGTTGAAAGACTCAGTTCAATAGTGATCTTCAAAAATCATTATGATATAAAGTCAGGAAAAGTTCATGCCTTGTTATAATGTTACTTTTTTCATCAGGCTTTATTAAGGAAAAAATTAAAGTAAAACTTTGGTGGCTGAAAATAACCTCTTTCTGTAGTCTCCCAGCCAGAAAGAAGTGGTGTGAAATGATAGTTCAATTGCTTCAAAAGCTTCAAAAGCACACGTAAAGAGGAAGGGTGTTGCTCTGATCTGATCTCTTGCTGTACAAACATGCTGTGTTGACCATGGCAGCTCAGCTGGAGCCCAAGCCCAAACCCCTGTGAGGATGCTCTGCACTGCTTCCCATGCATGGCCCGTGCTGCAGGCATCTCATCTGGGATGCTGCCACCACGCTTGTTCCCTTCCTTGGTACGGGAGAGTTTGTGCTGCTGCTAAGGGAAGAGTAAATATTCCCATTGGACACAGAGCCAGAAGCACAGCCAGTGGATAAGAAGGGAAGACCACAATGCAGGTGATCTTCCCCACAGTCCCATTTGCACCGCTGCTTTGGTACAACAGAGCAATGAATTCTGAGCTGTCACAACATTTTGTATGTTTTTCTCTGATTATTCATTGCTCTTTTCTAATGTTGAGCAGAGGAAATGTGAGATTGGGGTACATCGGGGTACATCCCTGTACATGGGGTACAACTCTGCCAGTGCTCCCTACCCAGTGCAAGGGGTTCCTGCAGCTGCAAGCACAGCTCTCCGAGCTGGTGAACCTTGTCCTGGAGCAGAGCTTCAGCTCTAGCAACCCATGAAGGTAAGGTGCAGAGGATGCCTTGTTGGTCCCTACTAAATAACAGCCTAGCAGGTTAGTTGTGCTCAAAGAACTTAAATTTTGGAGCTTGGCATGACCCATGTAATGATTTGGATTGTAATTATTGTTATTATTGGTTACTGTTTGCATTTCTGCAGGACTCACACGTAACAGCTTAGGAGCTCCTGTTCATGGTGCGGGATACAGGCACAACGAAAGGAGTCCTGGAGTCTGACCCGGAGCATACACTCCCATGGTGTGGCTTTGCTAATCGGGGCTGCTTTCTGCCCAAGAGCAGCAGTTAACAAAATATTGTGCTTATTATCATCATCACAGCCAAATATTCCCTTTTAACCCCTAAGGCTGAAACAACCTCGGTGTTAACTCGGAGCTGCCAGGTGCCATGCACTGTTCAGGCTCTGCAGGAGCATACCTACAGCTCCTGCACTGAGCTCCCATTGTTTTCTCTTCGGATGATGCCATCTTGGGACTTTTCCATCCTTCTTGCCAATATAATGTTGTATTTCATTCAAATAAAACTTGATCGGAATACAAGAGATCACTTTCATTTCTATTTTAGGGAAGAAAGGCTGCAGCATCTGCGCATCACCTAATGGAAAAGACCTGAGAATAAAAGAGCTCAGGCCCTTTAGAAATCTTTCAGAGAGAAGATGTAGCTCTCCTTCATGTCCTTCAGAATTAACATATCTCACTTTGTACATGCTCAGCAGCAAGGTTCCTAAATTTGCTTCCCAATAACCCACAGATACAGCATCGCAGTGCTGTTGCTGGCTGGATTGTAAAGCAGGTGAGAACAGGATGGGCAGTGAGGGGTTGCTGCCTCTTGTGATGCTTTCCTGGCCACCAGCTATCAGCACCTTGGGGACATCTCAGACTAGAGGTTTGCATGGAGATTATTGGGTTTAGTAGCTGCCAGAGGATGTGTCACCCATTAATTTGTCTAATCCTTCCTTGAGCAGATACACTTTTCATTCTGCAGTGCCCTCTGGCAATGGTTGCCACTGTTTGACTCCTTTCATTCACAGGATCTTTCGCTCTCATGATAATAAATGCAGCTCACGGTGCTGAGCAGGATGGATTCTGATGCTCCAGTCTGCAAAACCAACAGGGGCTCACAGAGGTAGGACAGTACAAAGTCTGGTAAAAATCCCAAGGGGGATTTTCCAAAGTGCATTTCCCAGTGCAAGCCAGCACTAGTCGCTGCTCTTGAAAAATCCCTTCTTTATTACTTATCATAGTCATTCCTGTGGATGAATTTCTAGCTCAAATTAGAAGTATAATAAAACTCTAAAGAGTTTTGATTCTTCAATTATTCTATTATTTTTTAAGGGAAAAAATCCAGTTCTGCACTTCCTTCCCCGAGATTTATTGCTTGTTGTGCAACAGATGTGAATCAGGGAAGTATTTATAACATCAGTATTAGGAAATGATCATTCAGGCAGCAGAACTCTGTATTAGACATCATGCCTTTAAATAAATTGTTTATTTCTGTGCTAACCTCATCTTGTAAATACATGCGCACTTAACTGTATTAAAAATGTCAGTGTTCCCAGAACTAGATTTTACGTGATGAATATACAACTGTTCCCGTTCTTTCCTAGTCAGCATTGTGGATCCTGGAGAAACAAGGATCGTTTTATTTGATGGGCCTTAATAAGGTTTATTTCTGCACAGATTTAACCCAAAGATTGTCATGACCATCTCAGGTCCCATGTGGCTTACAGGATTGAACTTGAAGAAGCATCATTCAACAGCGGCTGGTGATGGAGTGATTCCAGGCCTGGGACTGCCTCCAGCCAACTGACTTCCCTTCTGTGGCACCAGATTTGCATTCATTAAACCCAGAGTTTTAATGATTTATGGAGATTAATACAAAAATAGCGGCCCAGAGGTTCTGATGCTCCCAAAGCTTCTGACAGAGGTACAACACATCATAAATCCATCCCCATGTGAAACACTGAATCAAAATCATTGTGGAAGAACTGCAAGTGTTAACATGAGCCGTAAAATCAGGGGTTTGGTCAAACTAAAAGGATCAGAGCCTCCTAAGCCTGAGGAGATAGAAACCCATGTAAAAACAATAATATAATTATTATAATGTTAATAATAATAATATGATTACCATTGTTAATTACAATCACTGCCCTGATAGTTCTCAGCTGTAATGATGGATGGGGCAGAGATGGCCCAGGATAGAGGTGGCCCCATCCTTTCAGAAACAACCTCTGTGCCACTACCAAACACCAGCCAAGCCAAAACCTCGGTGCTTTCCAGTTTGAAAGGGAAGCCACCAGCAGCATCAGCTGCTGACAGCTCTATATCCAGTCTGGCTGAGCTTGGCAGGTGAGGAAGCAAAAGGAGATGGTCTTGAGATGAGAGAGTGGCAGAGGTGAGGAAGATTGAGGCCAGAAGCTGTCAAGGAAAACTGATGTGCATCTCCAGCAGTGCAGGGGAGCGGGCTGTGTCTGTTCATCTCCCCCCCATCTCCCCTGGAGGTGCCTGTGGCTCACAGCAGGACAAGGACTACACTCTGGTGAGCACTTCTCCAATCCTTCTGCGATGCATTTCTCCCTTTCCTCCCATTGCACCCTTCTCTTCTGCAGGTTTGCAGAGCCAGGAGAGGAACTGAGTGAGGCTCAAATTTAGTTTGTGTCAAGCCCCCAGTTCCCTTATGCTTAGGTCCCTGCCACCCTGCCCATGTTCCCCTCTGTGCTCCCCAAACCTTGCCCATCATTCCACCCCCTGCCTCCCCCAGCTTTCATTGCATCATGCATGCTTCATGCCTTTCTATAGCTTTGGCAAATGAATGCAAATGAATTCCAGCTTCTCCTATCCCTTAAAATAGCTGCAAACATCCAGGATAAGCCTGGTCCTGGGAAGATGCTGGGTTCTGGAGGAGCCACTCCTGCAGCAAGGTGTGCATTGTCTCATGCTGAGCCCTGGAGGCTTTAAAACTGGAGTTTAAAACAGCCTTGCCCCTGGGACAGACTCCTTTCATTTACAAGTGAATCAGCAGGGATGGCAGGACTGATTTGCCATATGCTGCCCAGCATCTTCTAAAGATTTCTGTAGGAGATGATAGATTTCTTTCAGGTAACCACCATGTTTTCTTGCTGCACCTTCTCCCTTGACCACATTCTCAGTTAGTATTAGCTCATGCAAATCATAGGACAAGCTCCATATCTTTACATCTCCCTCACCCAAGAGGATGAGACAAAACAATCACCAAAACTGATGCAAAAGAATCACTGTGCACCTCTGAGGACAGCCTCACCAAAGGCAGGATGGGCCAAAATGTATTTGGAGAAGTGAGCATAACTGAGGAGGAGGGATGCATCACCCTGAAGCTGGACACATTGATGAATGCAGCTCGGTACGGTTGAACAGGAAATGTGGAGGGGGTTCCCAGCTCAGATGCTTCTGACACACTGCTTCACCTTTGCACGTTTGTTGTCCTTTCCACCCTGTTTATTTAAAACAGAAACACTGAAACAGGGCCTTACTCATCAGTGATGCTACAGCACCAGCCAAAATAATGCCCTAAACTTCAGCATACAGGAAAAGGTTCATCATAATAAAGTCACCTCAATACGTGTCCATGGAGCAAACACTTCTGCTTTTCCTGACCATAGGATGTCACAAACAGCTCCTATACTTAATTTAGCTTTTAAAACTTACTCAACAGCTCCCAGTTTAGCACAGTAAGTGAAAGCAAAACCTACCAGGAGCCTGTCCAACTGCAAAGGGCACAGCAAGGATGGGACAAAAAGGCAGCACCTTCCAGCAGCATCTTGGAGCCACAGCCTCGGATGCTCCTGCCCCTGCCCTTAGGTCCCTGTGGGTCCCTGAGCTCTGCAGCAGCTGTGCGAATGATGCAGCACCACTGGCTCTGCAGCAAGCAGAGATGAACACCGTGGGGCTTGGCTGGAGACCTCTGACCACATCTTTCCCTTCCTCACCACCTTGCACAGAGTTAGCTGGGGGTTTCCATCACCCAGGTTATCTCATGCATTTTGGCTAATGGAGAACCGATTGCAATTTAAAGAGCTAAGTATAAAGTGCCTGAATTATTTATCTTTGAACATGCAGAAACAGGCCAAATTCCCAACTGATGTGAAACAGCTCTTAAGAAATGCAAAGGGGAGCTGCATTGGAAGGCATGCAAGAGCTGCATGGGCAAACCTATGCACGTGTCATGCCTGGTATGTCCTGCCTAGGTGATTGATGCCCTTGGTGTGGAGTGCTCAGGTGTGGATGCTGATCCCCTGTTTAACCACACAAGGGCCCCACCAACCCCTGTGTCAGCCCAAACAGCAGAGAAAAAGGCCCAAACACATTAATGCAAATCCAAGGGGTTCGGTGCTTTTCCACACCACTCCCTCAGCTCTGCCTCTGCAATCATTAACCCAGCCGTGCCCGGCTGACAGCGCCTGGTGCTGTATTGCACCAATACAGATAGCACTGTGATAGATGTGGTTATGCCCCAGATAAAGTAATACCCGTGCATCTGCTCTCTGGCTTGTTCTTCCTTTTACACGAGGTCAACTCAGTGCAATGGCTGGAGGTAAAGAATAATTTCCCTGCCACAACAGCCACGGGTGCAGTTCCTTCCAGCACACTTTTCCCCTCTGTGTGTGCTAGAGGGATGTATCGCAGCATTTCTTCCTGCACATCTCAGGGATGCAGGGAGGCTGGGATACTCAGGGATGGGGCAGCCTGAGCCCTCCCTGGGGGTTGTGAGGCCCCAGGTGGGTGGTGGGACGGGAAATGGGGCAGGTTTGATAAGATGCACCTGACCATAAGCCGTATCCCACTTATGATTGCTCTGTCATCCATTTCCTTGCTGTTCCTTTCCTCCTTTACTCCCTGCCCAACAAGGGATGCTCTCCCTGCTCTTCCTCTTTCCCTTCCCATCTTTCCCCCCTTCCATCTGCCCCTCTCCCATCCCTCTTTCTCTGCCCGCGTAGCCCCCACTTTCGCTCTGCTCTCAGTTCCTCTCTCCCTATTGGCTGAGCCGCTGCCGGCATCCGCCCCTGATTGGAGAAAACTCCCGTCGGTCAGGGCGGGGGGATCCCTCCCCGCGGCTGGCGCAGGGGAGCGCGGTGGCGGCAGCCAGGACGGCAGCAGGTACCGGGGCAGGGATGGAGGGAGCGGGGTGGGCACGGTGGTGATGGGGGCTCCCCGGGTGATCCCCCCGACCTTACATAGACACACACACACACACACACGGCAGGAGCTACCGGGTGGTACCGCACGTGTCTGCGGGAGCGGTGCGGGTGAGCACCGAGGAAGCGGGGATGGGCACGGGTCATCCGCCGCTCCCCGCCGGGGGATGGAAAACCTCGGGATGGGGTTAGCGGCGGTTCTGGAGGGGGGCTTGGGGCTGGGGGAGGCAGCGGTCCTGCCCTGGGGTGTGCAGGTTGTTTTGTGGGACCGGTGGTTTGGTGAGAGGAGCTCGGGGAAAGCCTGTCCTGCGGCAAGGGAAGGGGTGGGGGGGAAGGCAAATAGCCCAGGTCACTGAGATTTTCCATTTGCGAGCTGCCTCCGGTGATGCTTCAAAACCGGTGTTGTTATCTTGTAACTGAAGCTCGTTACAACTGATTCACTGTGGTTTGTGATGGAGTTGTTTTTTTTTTTCCCTTTCCTTTTGTGAGAGCCTTGCCTTTCTATGGGAAATTGAAAAGATGCAAAGAAAAGGGAGAAAATGAGGAAAGTGGAGAAAATAGCTAAAGAAAAGCTAAGGAAATAATAATAATGTTGATAAAGTAAAGGTGAGGAAATAAAAATACGTGGCATGGCAAATTGGTCCTTATAGCAAGTAAAAAGTATGTTATTTATAAAACAATTTGGTTTCAAGAGGGTTGTAAGAAAAGTTAGAGAAGGAAGTGGCAGACAGCATGCTGAGCTGAAATTGGAGCACTTCCATCGCCTGACCTATATTACTTTATGAACCTATTTGTTCAGATGATACAAAGCAAAAGCCTTGTTATAATAAAACCTTGGGTTTCAATTCTGAGAGCTCAGAAGGCACAAGTGGGCGTTAATCGCACGAGTTGTTGCATTAGTGTTTTAGTGCTGTTTTATAGGTTGGTTTTATCAGGCAACACGCTACAAGCATGGTGTTACTCCAGTCTGGCACCTCCTCTTTTGATTTCTGGGCTCTTAGTTTCTATAGTGCTGCTTGGTTGTAAAAATACCCTAAAATAGTATTTGATGGGGGGGGGTGAAGAACACGAAAGAGATCTTTAGAGAAGCATGCCTTGGGTGGCTTTAAACACAAGAAGAACGAGAAAGGATGAAACAGCGGGGAGAGAGGGTTAGTCAAATAATGAAAGGGGAGGAGGGGGAAATAGTTATTTATATGCAAAGAGCTTGTGGAGTACCAGAGATGATCGGAAACTGAAGCAGCAGCATGAGGGACAGACCACAGCCACCTGCCCTGCCACTGCTAACGTACTGGGGTGTGAGGAGCGTGTCCAGGCGTGACAGCCTTGTCTGTAGCCCTGTGCAACAGCCACTCCTCTTGTATTGCCTTAATCCACCCTGCACGTGGGGCAAACCCACAAAGTGACGGTGGCAAAAGCATTATGTGTGACCCAGGGATGACAGATGAGACTGGAAGCAGCAGTTCCTATGGGGGTTGGACACTCCTGGCCAGCGGAACCAGGAACTACTGAGCAAGTACTTACTAGAAATCTTTACAGAGCTCAGAGGTTTGTAGGTGAGGGGGAAATGGGATCAGCCACTAACAAAAGAAATATCCATTGGCTTAGGGAGATCAGTATCCAGCTGCTCAGTGCCCCACGATTTCTGGTTGCAAGCTCCTTGAGGCGGCTTTAATCTTTTTGTGTGTGTCTTTACAGCATGGAGCAGGCTGGGGGGGGACCCTGCTCTGATCTGGGACTTCGCACCCAGTAAAATAGCACAAAAGTGAATCATGGCTCTGCTTGCTGCAGCTTATTTTGCTCAGTCAACCCCATCACTGAGCACTGTTTTGCTTTCCTTTATTTTAACTCAGTGTATCAAGCACAGAAACCTGCATTTGCCTATGGGCTTGCTCACAGCCTACAGGTGAAGGTGCTCGTATGCCAGATGACCAAATATTCTGCTTTATCATTTGGGTTTCTTGTCGTCTTCACCTGGTTCCTTGAGCTGCTGCCTGTAAGTTGATTATTCTGAGCCATTTGCGTCTTTCAGGATCCCATTAAGGCAACAGTGACCGGTGGAAAAGCTTTGTAAGACTCTGCAACCACTTAGCAGAGCTGATGGATTGTTGATGGTGGCTTAGTGAGATGCTGAGTATGATTTTGTGGGGGAGAGGCTCCCCCTTGGATTTTTAGGCTTAAGAAACAGAGGTCATCACATTATAGCAACCTGTTGGAGTTGTTAACCATGCACAGGCTGTTTTGGATTAAATAGATTGGTGTTTTGGTCTGGATTTCAATGGCCAGAATGTTCCCCAGCTACCCCAGCCCTCTCTAGCAGCAGGATCTGTAGATGCAAGAGCTGCTCCCATCCTGGAGTCGCCCTTTTTTCCCTTTTCAAAACCAATCTATGGCAAACCCCCCCAGTGATATAATTACTTTTGTTCCGTCTTGCCCTTGGGTGACCTCCCGGCGTACCAGCAGTGATGCTGAAGTGGAGGAGTTGAGAACAAAGAGTTTCTACAAACACTTTGTGGGAGAAATGCTCTGAGAGAGGTCAAGGACTTTGCTTTATGAATCCCAAACAAAAGCATTTATCCTGCTTGGGTAGCTGTGATGGGTGATTGTAGACAAGTACTCAGGGCTGCTAACTTTAATAGATTTTGAGTCAGGCCTCTTGTTAGTACAGCAGAGAGCATGAGGTGAGGCAGTGAAGTGTTTAATATTAACAGAGCAATGTTGTTCTAACCTTAAATCTCAATTCAGGCAGAAATACCCTAAGTCTGGGGTGCTACCATGTTGCTGCTGTCAAAAATGTCCTTCCACTTCTAGACTGTAAATGAGCTTGAGCAACAGGAATATGGTGGTGGTAGGAAACACTCTTTATCCTTGTTTGCTTCATTCAGCAAGGTGCTGAGGCTTTCCAGCACTTTCTGGAATTCCTGGAGCCGTGAAGACACAAGTCCAGTTTTTTTCTCTTGTTCTATTCTACTCACATATAGTTACACTAAAACTGGATTTGATTCCTACTGATGGAGAAGGTGTTTGCTGAACGGCACTGATGATCTTCAGCCATTTGAATTCTCCGAGCTCAGACTGGTTCCATCAAAAAAGAAAGTGCTGACAAGCTTTGTATAACCATCATCCAGTGGTCTGAGGGGTTAGGGAGTTGGTTTCATGTTGGGAAAGCAAGGCCAAACACTTTGGAGTTCTTCCAAAAAATACTATTGACTTTGCAATGTTCTGGCTGAAAAAATCCAAGAAAAAGTACTTTTTGGCATTTTTATAACTATGACTTCATATTTGTCCATTGAAGTGTTTGGGTGTGCTAGGAAAT